ATCTTTGACCGTAAGTTTTTCATATATCTTTTAAAAATTTTGAATTATCAATTACTGTGACGTACAATACTTTTTACGTAGTTTACAATATATAAATATCATTTAAAAAAAAATGAAGATTCTATGCGCAAATTCCCGATCAAACTTAAACTGTTTGACACTCAAAAATGAAAAGTGCCACATAAATTGGGACAAATGAAGTACTACCTTAAAAATCTGAACTCTCTAACTTAAATGTTAAATTACTATAATACCCTCAACTAAAAATACTCAATTTAGTATATCTTCTACATTTTATAATTTTATTTATTTATGTTATATTAAAAGCAAACTTCTTTTCATATTAGAAGGTTGTGATTTTTTCAAAAGGTTGTGACTTTCCCAATGATTTGTGACTTTTTCGAAGTATTGTGACTCTTCCAAAGGATTCTATTATGATCAGAATTTCTGTTGTGGATATTGATATTCCCTTTTTAAAACTAAGAAAATTAAACTTGCATAAAATTGGGTGTGCTATTCCTCAATGATACACACAATTTTCTGGTTTGAAAATTTTGTTGAGTCATTTGTAAACCTTGTAAATTGGTTATACTTTTCACCCATAGGCTCAAGAGAGGTCAGTTAAACGCCTTTTGCTTGAAAATTATACTGTATTTATAGGTCGAATATTACCTTTTTTGTAGTAAAGGTAATTAAGATGATTCAAATTTTGAACCAAGCCCAACATGAATAGCCAACTTGGTACATAAACACTATTTGATCATTAAACCAATTAAAAGTACATACACATGACTTATTGCAAGTTGCAACAATTTATAAAAAACGTGACAAAACAAAACAACACACAAGTAGTTTTACTAGAGGAAAAGTGAACAGGGACTCTATTCATAACTGCCCTTTATTTTTCACACCAATACAAGTATATAAGTCTTAATTATATATAGGCTTTCATATAAACTTAAAGATGTATTTTCAGAAAGCATGTGGTTAAAGAGGAGATTGCGGATTTCTCATCTTAGCTTTAGACACAACAATAGCCACAAAGGCCTTTGCAAGTTGTGCATTGGTTACAAAATATAGTTTTGCCAGCTTTGAAAATTTTACCAAGACCCTTCCGTAAATGGCGCCCTAGAAAAGCCACTCTCTTGGCTTCACTAGTGGTGTTTCCAATCATTGCTGCATCAAAAAGTGTATGTAGAGCTTCATATTAGTCAGTAACGGAATCAGAAATTCACATATAAGGGAATTCAAAAATACAATAAAATAGTGTCACATGCACCCTATATAGTATTTATACATGTAACATAACAATTTTTTAACGTCCTTTACTACGATGTCTCCATGTTGTCAAGAGAACTCAACCGTTTATATATAACAAAAAAAACAAATAAAAACATTTTTTTATAATAATAAATAGATGGAGAGGGTAAATTAACCTTGGGTAAGTGGAGCAGGGGCCTCAGAATTCATCTCCCTTGCAACAATTTGTGAGGATATTATTAGTAGAATAACCAAAGAAAGGTAAACAAAAATATTATTTTTAGAAACCATTTTGATTAACAAATTAAACTATTTGGAATTTGATTTTTTATTTTTATTTTTTCTTGCTGATGAGAAAAAACATGCATTTCGTCCCTATTTATAGAACTCAATAGTACTTACATGCAACGATCAGAAAAATAGAGGAAATTATTGAGGACTTGCTTTGAATTCTTCAAGAAAAAAAAGAAGAATTTCATAAAGACCTTTTTCTTTTGGGGTAAAAAAAATTGAAATATAAAATATTATATTAGTTAATTTTATGGATCATAAAGACTTGCTTTAACTAAACGTAACTCACGGAGGATACGTATCAACCTATAGTATTATAATTAGGAGGGTTGGGAAATGTCGAAAATTAAGGTAGAAAGTTATAAGGTAGTCCGTAGTCAAGTGTTATGGTATTAGTTCAAAATTATATCACAATTTATCATTCATTATATGTGAATAATTATTTGTACATATGTATATTTCATTTGTCCTAATTTGTATGACACACTTTCTTTTTTTATTCAACTAAAAAAGAATCACTTCTCATAACTAGAAATAATTTAACTTTATAATTCTCTTTTTATCCTCAAATGAATAATTTATAACTACACAAATAAATGTGTAAGCTTTGTTTTAGCCACAACTTTAAAAAAAAATAAAAAAATTCTTAAACTTTGTGTCAAATATCAAACTCCGTCATATTAATTGAGATAGAGAAAATAATCTTTTTAACACATATACATAGTCCGAGATTCCAAGCCAAAACTATTGAATTTCAATGAATTCGTAAGCCATAACTATCACCTTATATCCATAGCTATCGATGGTTAAACTTTTCCGTCCTTAATCATATGTTTCGAATTCGAGTTTATATATCAGGTAGATGAGAGGTAGGGGTGTACATGGTCGGGTTAGTTCGGGTTTTTCATATATCAAACCAAACCATTTGTGTTAGATTTTTAAATTTATAAACCAAACCAAACCAATAAAACTCGGATTTTTCAACTTCGGGTTTATTCGGGTTTTATCGGATTTTCGGGTTTTTTCCCAATAAAGTATTCATACAAACATATAATTTACTTGTACTTCAAATAAATTGATGAATCACTAGTAATTGATGAATCACACTTCAAGCATATCATAAATTTGGCTTAAAGACTTAGAAGTCATCGTCTGCTAGTTGTACTTCAAATAAATTGATGAATCACACTTCAAGCATATCATAAATTTGGCTTAAAGACTTAGAAGTCATCGTCTGCTAGTTGTACTTCAAATAAATTGATGAATCACACTTCAAGCATATCATAAATTTGGCTTAAAGACTTAGAAGTCATCGTCTGCTAGTTAATACGAGACGGTCCTATATATGAAGAATAATGGAGTTTCCCTCATTAACTTAATGTGAAAAGTTACAGAAAATATATTTATTAATTAATATATTTTCAAAAAATAATATATATCTTAAATATTTAATTTAATGTCATTTATAAAGTTTCTTATTTGTCTAGTATAAATTTTAAATAATTAATTTTTATTTTTAAAATTTATTATAATTTTATGATTGCAATTGTGTATCCAAACAGAACATGTGTAATTACACTGTGGCATCCAAACAAGACATGTGTAATTACACTGTGGCAATCAAACATGTCAGTGTAATTACTAGACAGTGTAATTACTAGGCTGATAATTACTACCCTAGTAATTACACCAATTCCAATTATTAAGTGGCTTTCCAAACAGACCCTTAATTTAATTCCCACAACCGACAACATACAACACCAAATACCCAATACACGACCCCACCTTGTCCTTCTTCCTTTTCAGAGAAACCCAGCTTCTAGCGTCAACAAAACAGAGAAAATTTCCAGACGCTAACAGCAGCCAAACGGCGTGAGTCTGGCAGCACTGCGATTTGTGTTGTCGTGTTCTTTAATTCCCACGACAACAGTACATCCACGCAGCTCTTCTAGCGGGAAAAGCAACACAAGTTTTCGTCCTTGCTGCGTAAGATCTTGCCACGAAGCACACCAAGGACGACCGAACCGATCGAGTCGTCCATCGCCCCTTCCTCTTCCGGAATGGGGTGAAAACCTCAGAAAAGGGGTGTTTGTCCAAATTTGTGAAAGATTTTGGATTTTGAAATTTTCGGATGGGCCGTGAACCCAAAATTTTCGTCCCTTTTCCTCCCAAAATCCGATCCTAATTTCCATTCTATAAGTAACCCTTTCTTATTTATTGTGTTGGGGGGGATTTTTGGAAGTTGGAGGAGTTTCTTTTTAGCAAAAATATAAGAATAGCTTAAGAAGAAGTAGTTTGAATACAGAGGAAATACACTTTGAAATAGAGAGGTTAATTCGTCTAAGAACTTGGTTTTATTTACCTTTTGGTGCTATCCATCGCTCTATCACAAGTTCATTCGAACTCGAGATAGCTGCTCGGATTTCTGTCCAGACTCTCGTTTGCTGTCCGGTTCGGGTTTCGGTGGTAAAAGCTCGTTGCCCTCCTGCTCGTCCGTTCCGTCGCTGCACCAGAAAAGGTAACATTCTTATTATTACTTTTCACTTTCTTTCTCGAATAAGGCGTGTTCCGTTCTGTTTTCTGTCCCAAGGATCTTTATTTGGGGTCAACTTCGTTATCTTCTTGTTACATGTTCTCGATATGGTGTTGAAAATGGTAGAATGTCGGCGAGATATGCTAAATGCGGCCGAGTGTTTTTTTTTTTTTTTCTCTTTAGTTACTGTTGGTGATTTTTTTTTGGTTTAAATTAATTTATGCTTTGCTTCTCTTACTTGACTCTTCACCTTGTTTGTTTGGTATGGTTTGAGACCGATTCTGCTATGTTCTTGGGATTTAGTTGCGATTATTTTCGAAATGATTGTTTTGTTCATGACTCGTTGGTCTGTTAACTTATTATTCTTCATTTTTAGTTCTGTGATTGTTCTACTGTTTAATGAAGCATGTCTAAATCAAATGGTTTCATTATTTATCTTTGTGGAAATAAAGTAATTAGCAGAAAATTATTAAAACGGATTGAGTGACTTTGCAAGCTTAAGGGCTATTTGTATCAAACCGCAAATCATATCAAACTAATAAATTCGAGTTTAATCAGAAAAAATTTAACTAGTGATTTGATTTTTATTTATTTTTTAAAATAAAAAAATAAAATTGATCATGGTTTGATTTGGTATCTACTAAAAACAAGTTCAATTCGAAACCAAATTAATATACAATTTTTAAAAAACTTTGATACATAAAAGTAGTTAGAGTGATGTAATTTATAATTATTTTTAATTCTTTTTTCGTAATTTTTTTATTTTATCATATTATTTTAAGTTTGAGAAAGAATTTTTAAATGGTCCAATAAAGATTATAGTCTGTAAATATTAACAACTTTAATAAAGCTCAAATCAAAATTAAATCAATAATATAATGCTAAAAAAAATTCACTTCACTACTAAGAAAGTAAGAAATGACAATAATATTATTGAATATTTATTCTTTAATTTTACATTTATTTAAACAGTTAAAATACATAAAGTTTCACATGTTTTGAAGATGGGTCGCACTAATTCCTTGGTAGCCAACAAAGCCTACCGTAGTTGATAGTAAAAATTACATAATTCCCATTTAATCATGCATATATTATAAATCTCATGACATGTCATAAAGAACTTGGAATAATTTGGTTCATAAATTTTGCATTTTCTAATAAATGTGACTTTGTATTTACGGAAATTCAAATTCAAGATCTTTTATTTATAAATTTTACATTTTCTAATAAATGTGACTTTGTATTTAAGGAAATTCAAATTCAAGATCTTTTATTTAAAATAAAGAAATATTTATCACTTCACACTGTATATATCCAAAATAAATATTTAATCAATTGCGTCTCGGTATTTGTTCTACCAAAGTCTTAAAAAATAATTGATAACCAACTGTGGATTTTTTTATTTCATTGCATGCACCTCATGTCTTTTTTAAATTATGTATGCAGAAAGATACATACAAAGAAGGAAATTATTCTTTATTCTCCATTTATTTTTGTGGGACCTTTTTTCTTATTATATATGAAAAAGCAAAGTGTCCCCTCATTAATTTAGAACAAATTATCTTTTTCTTATCGTAATGTTAAATTGTTTTCTGATCATAATTGTAAAAAAGTTAGGAAAAGGAGTGACACACATGAAAAATGATCTCGCAAAGGTAAAATAGGTGAATTTGCCCTTATTCGGAAAGTTTTACAAGTGCCCTCTAATAAAGGTGATTTCGTATTCGAGGGGACTCAAATACGAGACCTCTGATTAAAGAAGGAGTGCTTATCACTCCTCGACAATCCTTGTTAGTGGTATTTATTCAGTTATTTATTATTTATATGGGATCAACTTATTTTGTCGATTGGATTGATTTTAAACGCAACTGTGTATTCTATACTTGGGCCCTTTATTTATGATAATAACAAATTATCATTCGTGTCTTTCTCTTCATTTTCTTAATGTTTGGATAACTTGTAAGTATTCCTATCTAATCAAGTCCAACACAATAAGAATATCAAATTATGTGAAAAAATATATTTTTTGTTCAAAATAACGTTTTAGACGGTAGGCTAAATATTAAAATAAACTGCAAAACAAATAAAAATATTATTTACTAAACAATTATCATAAAAAAAAGAGAAAAGGGTCAAATGCCCCCTCAAGCTTTAACCATATTTCCAACTACACACTTAACTTTTGCGGGGGTCCTATTACCCCCCTGAACCTTTTTTTTTTTATATTAGTTCACCCTCAGACGCTGATGTGTCCACATACGTGAACTCACCTCCGTGAGGCGCGTAAGAACGTAATAAAATGTCCATGTGGAGTCCAAATAAGCCTCCCAACAGTAACTTTACTCTTTATTTAACCATACATTTATTTTTTATTCTTTTCCCAATTCATTTATCTCCATCTCTTTTGTTCTTGAACAAAATCTCTCTTCTTTGTTCTTCATCCACCATTTTCAAAGCTTGAATTTAGTTGTTGTATCTTCTCCAACTAAGATTGAATTTAGGATTTGCAATTTTCTCGAATTT